CAAGTCAGCAAGACACAGAACTACAACAATTGGCTAAAGAAAGCATAAGACAGCTAACATCATAAAGGACAACAATTTTAAGTCAAGGTCCATCAAAGCCAATGAACTCATGCCAAAATTAGGTACATGTATGCAATAAATATATTAAGTCAATTATTTCTGAAAAGTAAAAAATAATCAGTATTAACTAGAATATTAAGAGAAAAAAATTGGAGAAAGCATGGCTCAAGAATGGTAGAATGTAGATAAAATCATAGGATAAAGGATTATTTTGAAAACATGCTTTTTATTATTTTTAATTTATATACAATAGATGTACACATTTTTGGTGTTCATGTAAATATTTTGATATAGTCATACAATGTGTAATGGTCTAATCAGGGTAATTGAGATATCTAGTAAATTAAACATTTATCTTTTCTTTATGCTGGGAACACTTGGATTACTATCTTTCAGCTATTTTGAGATGTAAAAATAATTACTATTTACTATAGTTATAATTATCTAAATTATTACAAATTTATCAAACACTAGGTCTTACTTCTCTCAGTCTGCATATTTGTATCCATTAATAAACGTCTTTTCATTTCTCCCTCCCCTATCCTTCCCTGCCTCTAGTAACCACCAATCTACTCTCTATTTTCACAAGACTCAACTTTTTAGCTCTCACATATGAGTTAGAACATGCAATATTTATCTCTCTGTCCCTGACCTATTTCATTTAACATAATGACTTCCAGTTCCAACCATGTTGCTGCAAATGACAAGATTTCAATCTTTTTTATGGTTGAATAATATTCCATTGTGTATATATAGATATATTTTATTTTATTTTATTCATTTTATTTATTCATTCATCCACTGGTGGACACTTTAGTTGATTCCATAAATCTTGGCTATTGTGAATACTACTGTAATAAGCAAGAGAATGCAGCCAATCTCTTCAAATATATTGCATTCCTTTGTATTTTTAAAAGAATTAACTGCATGTACATATAAAACAAGTGAGGGATTAGCTTGACAAGGAAAATATATGGACTTACAATGGTATTGATCTTGCAAAGTCTTTGATGTCATTTGCTATTTTTTACTAAAATGTTATGAAAGAGACATTAGTAGAGTTATTCCAGTAACAAAATGCAAGATGGACTGATATACAGACAGCCCGAATCAAAGAAGGTGAATGAATAAGACTCATGCAGTAATACACAAAGAAATGAAGCAAAGGCAGTAGAAGGGAAAGAAAGGGCAAATGTCAAGGACACCCCAAGTGAAGAAATTATTCACTGAACACAACTGACAAAAAGAGGAGATTTAGTGAATGAAAGAGAAGGAAGAATCATAGATACTTTAAAAAATGCTGTATTTGTTAAAATATAAAAATAAAAACGCCATTACTAGAACAAAGAGGAAGGTGTATAATAATTGGTCATTTAACCAACTGAGGTTTTTACTAGTTGCATGTAAGTTGATTAGAGAATGTAGGACTAAATTCTAAATTTGGGACTTCTTCTCATTTTTTACAAAATGTCAAGTGAAGATCACACTAAGGTAAAATGAAAAAAAAACCTTAAGTTCTTGAAATATTTTGGTATCTTGTTATAGCTGAACTACCGTTGTGTTCAAACACCACAAATAACTGATGAGATGTAAACTACACTTTTTATAAATTAAAATTCTTAAGACTAAATTCTTAGGGACTACATACTTAGGAGCTTTCTTAAAAAAAAAAACAAACAAACAAAAAACCCTGAACATAGTAATTACTGTTTTGCTTACTTTCAAAAACACCAAATAGTATCCAAATTCTTAAAGTATGTACTGGAGTATTGCCCAGTCCATTACTGGTATCTACAAACTATGTTGATGATCTCTTTTCCTGTTGAAAATTTCAGCCTACAAGATAGGCTGAAAGAAAAGATTACTCTATTTATTTATTTGAACAAATGATGCTATAGGAATAACACGTATTGAAATAAATTTTACAAACAGCCAGGCACAGTGACTTAGGCCTCTAATCCTAGCATTCTGAGAGGCTAAGGCAGGAGGATCACTTGAATCCAGGAACTGGAGATAGTCCTGATCAACAGGCAAGACCCTGTCTCTACAATAAAACATAAATAAATAAATAAATAGCCTGGCATGGTGGCATGGGCCTGTTGTTCCAACTATTAGAGAGGCTGAGGTGGAGGGATTGCTTGAGCCCATGAAGTCCAACGTGCAGAGAGCCCTGTTTGCACCACTGCACTCCAGCTTGGCTAACAGAGAACCTGTCTAAAAAAATTGCAAACAAAAACAAAACAAAACAAAAAACAAAAACAAGAGAAAAACTAACAGAAGTTTATATGTAATTTAACATGTATATTTTATACTTTCATGTATATATAAAATATTTTACATATACATACTCACGTATTTGTACTCTCATGTATATATAAAATATTTTATAAATACCTGAGTATTTTAAAATATATATACATGAAGTATGTATAAATAAAATATACATACATGAAGTATGTATAAATAAAATATTTTATATATACATGAGTATATATATTTTATATATACATGAGAGTATATATAATGAGAGTATATATATATACACATGAGAGTATATATAAAATATATAATGAGTAGTTCTCAAAGAGGTGACTCACCTCTTTGGTGAATTTCAGATTATATGGCACCTTCTTCTTCTAAATAAATTCTTAGATAAGTGGTAAAACAAACAAAAAAAAAGACTTTAAGTTGTTATGGGCAGCAACTTGGGGTAAGGTGAATCAATGGTAGATAAAGGCTAGTTATCTTGTTAAAATTTGGGAACATAGATTCTTCTCGTACCCTCTCCAGGCTGATAGGGTCCAAAGTTGTCTTCAGTGGTTAACATTTGTGAGTGGGTTTGGGGAGGGCAAGGTAACATTTTTCTTTATAAGTCTTTGTCGTGCTTTTAGGCAAGTAGATGGAGGGCAATGAGCTTTCCTGCATCTGCTTCTTCTTTATTATCTTCAGCTCAGTAATCTCTCATATTTTGGAGTGGCATCTTCTCATCTCCCACATAGGAAATTTTAGATAGATTACAATCAATTTGGATTTTACAGTGAAAATCATGCTCCAGTTTTATTTAATTCATTTCTAAGAATGAATTTTGCTACAGTATTATTATCTTCTGCAAGTTAAACACATATTTTTGGTTTTCCAGTTTTTACATTAGAAAAGATCCCGCTAAATGAGGATTCATTTAGTCTTGCTACTCAGTGTGGTTCAGAGACCAGCAGAATTTGCATCACTCAGGAACTTGTTTGAAAAGTTGAATCTCAGGTCCACCTCAAGTTACTGAATCAGAATCTGCTTTTTCAACAAGATCACTGTTTTTTTCCTATGTCCAGTAAAGTTGAAAAAGTACTAAATTTGCCTTCCATTAACTGATCCACCCAATTTAGATTTGCAGGTAATGTTCTGCCCTGAAGAGGGGTTGTTTTACCCCAATGGGTCCTTTACCTGCCTGTTGCCATTGAGCCAATAGAAAGAGAGGAGGTTCTGTTAAGCAGAGCAGAAACTTTATTTGTTGTTCAAAGAGTAGGGAAGGTGAGCTTCCCATTCACCTTCTTCCCAGGTGTGTGGAGAAGGGGGATTTTTAAGGTCTCTTAGAGCATGGAGGTGGAGACTAAGGATGGAAATTCCTGGAAAGAGGTGGGACTTTCCAGAGAAAACTAGAATGTGTGCAGTCTTGCGCTTTCTTTTGCACTGGGCACTTACTATATGTGCCTAGCAAAGGGCATTTCTCCCCACTGGGCAGAGATTTTAATATGATAAGGAAATGAGGATTCAGGTATGTCTGAGTAGCACTGCCAAGCTGAGTTTTTATCTCGTGGCTTGTTTGTGGCTACTGGCATCCTGCCTGACTTTTGTTTCTGTAAGCAAGCACAACTGAGACCACAGGTTACTTTCATAGGTTCTGGGACTCTTTAAAAGAATCAAGGTCATGCTACGGTGACAGTAACTTATTGACTCCCAAAGATTCATTATGATTCAAATTTTAAGGATTCATTAGAATGGTACTAAAGAATTTTATTTAATGCTAAGGAAAATGAAATCAATGTTACTGGAAACCACTTATGTATCTGATATTATTATCCATTTCCAAATCTATTAACTCATTTCACACTTAAAATATCTCTAAGTGCCACTGCTTCCATGTAACTAGATGTGAAAGCTAACCTGAGGCTAAGATTTGTTCAATAAATACTGCACATCCCTTGTCTGCAAGTCCCTGAGAATAAAGTGCACATGGCTTCTATTGTTACAAAATATGCAATATTTTGTAATTAGACGAAGGCCAGGCAAGTACATGGTAGTGTTAGAGTTTCTAAGAGGGAAACCTAAATTGTCAGAGGGGGTTAGAAAAAAAAAAAAAATCTATTTGGAAAAAGCATTTTAACTCATTTCTGGAGAACACATTTTTATAAAGTTGGCTCTGAAAAAGGCTAGTGTGTCTTGGAGTTTCGCAAGGGGAACTAAGCAGCAGTTGAAGCTGGAGCATTTCAGGAATCCTGCAGAACTTCATAGAATAAGGTGCGGATGTTGGACCTTATCCAAAAGTCAAAGGAAGCCACTGGAGGGTTTGAAGCCAGGAAGTGACAGGCCCTGATCCACGTTTGGAAAGGCTCTCACTCAGACCCATGCAAAGCCCTGCGGGCGGGTGGGTTTATTGGGGCCACTCCCCTCGGCTGCCTTTCTCCACCCCAGTCACCGCCTCCTGCTTCTGAGCTTAGCCATCCGAGGGGGGTGGGAACCGTGTAATAGGGGCGGGGGGAAGAAAAACGTTCTTAAAAAAATATTAAAAAGAAAACATCCCACTTGGCAGCGAGTGCGCGGGAAGTTCAGCGAGCGAGTTCCGGGCTTCCCGCCCGCCGGCAGAAGACCGCCGGTGAGCCCCCAGCCTCCGCCTGGCCCTCCGCCTGTCTCTTATACACATCTAGATGTGTATAAGAGACAGCAGCCAAGTACCGCATGGCCTCCCTGTATGTGGGTGACTTGCATGCAGATGTCACGGAGGACCTGCTGTTCAGGAAGTTCAGCGCTGCGGGGCCCGTGCTGTCCATCCGCATCTGCAGGGACCAGGTCACCCGCCGCTCTCTGGGCTATGCCTACGTGAACTTCTTGCAGCTGACTGATGCCCAGAAGGCGCTGGACACAATGAACTTTGACATCATAAAAGGCAAATCCATCCGTCTCATGTGGTCTCAGCGTGATGCCTACTTGAGGAGATCTGGAATTGGGAACGTGTTCATCAAGAATCTGGACAAATCTATCGATAACAAAACCCTTTATGAACATTTTTCAGGTTTTGGAAAGATTCTTTCCTCCAAGGTGATGAGTGATGATCAAGGTTCCAAGGGCTATGCATTTGTGCACTTTCAGAACCAGAGTGCTGCAGACAGGGCCATTGAGGAGATGAATGGAAAACTACTCAAGAGCTGCAAGGTATTTGTTGGCAGATTCAAAAACCGAAAAGATCGTGAAGCTGAACTCAGAAGCAAAGCCAGTGAATTCACCAATATTTACATCAAAAACTTCGGAGGCGACATGGATGATGAGAGATTGAAGGACGTTTTCAGCAAATATGGCAAAACTCTGAGTGTTAAGGTGATGACAGATTCCAGAGGGAAATCCAAAGGCTTTGGCTTTGTGAGTTTCGATAGCCATGAGGCTGCCAAGAAAGCTGTTGAAGAAATGAATGGAAGGGACATAAATGGGCAGCTGATTTTTGTAGGCCGGGCGCAAAAGAAAGTAGAGCGACAGGCTGAGTTAAAGCAAATGTTTGAGCAGCTGAAAAGGGAACGAATTCGTGGGTACCAGGGAGTAAAGCTCTATGTTAAGAACCTTGATGACACCATTGATGATGAAAAACTACGAAACCAATTTTCTTCATTTGGATCAATTATTAGAGTTAAGGTAATGCAGCAAGAGGGCCAGAGCAAAGGGTTTGGCTTCATCTGCTTCTCCTCTCTAGAGGATGCTACTAAAGCAATGATTGAGATGAATGGCCGCTTCTTGGGCTCCAAACCTATTAGCATTGCCTTGGCCCAGAGTTATTAGGAAAGATAAACATACCTTCCCAGTTAGCATCTGCAGCAGTTGGGGAAATGATAGTGATCTCTGCCTGAACTGACCTCAGTAAATTTCATATTCCACATGATGGGTGCTTAGTTTAGTGAATTTTATGATGAAAAGTTTTTTATACAAAGCCATTTTTTTCTTTTGTGGAAAAATAAATGGAGCTTAGTTCATTTTACAGAGGCACATTTTCTAATTTTAATATTGCATATTTTTCTTATTTTGATGTTGTGTTCATAGCAATAAGTATAAATAGATATATCTTTATTACATTTGAACCAAATGAAATAAGGTAATTATTTGAATTTATTGCATATTTTATTTTAGTAATATTGCTAGCTTTAATTTCTTCTATGAAAATATGCTCAAAATAGTTCTTACACCTAAAGATTTCAAAGTATTTTTACTGACAGAAATTTTCTAATTTTTCATCCAAGTTTTGAGAAATCAGACTTTTAGAAATTTATAGTATGAATTTAAAGATCTAATTTCATTTTGAATAAATGCTTAAAGTACTCAGATATAGTTGAATTTATTTTAAATTTATATCCTGACATGCTTGTTTTTCGGATGGTTTAAATTAAGATGATGGAGGTTTTTAATGTTGCCTAAAAACTGGCTTTATTTGTTTTGTTCTTTCCATTAGTTGACTATAATTCAGGTACTTTCTTGTTAATCTAAATTGTAACTTGCACTGTAAAACCTTAACTTCTACATTCCTTAAGTTATATATCTGTATCAACTCAGGTGATCCAAAGTTGGCCTGGTCTTAAATCTCTTCATACCTATACGGCTTAATATTTTCCCTTACATTTTTACCAGATGCTATTATTATGAAAGTCATGTATATAGATTGTAGAAATTCTGTTTAAAAACTTTTAAAATCTGTTTTATATCGTTTTGTGTAGTGATAGTCTCTTAGGGTTCAGAAAAGTAAGTTCCTCTATTTTTATAAACTCACCTCTCCTTTTATTAGACTATGGCAGCTATGTAACCCATTAAGGTTCACTTTTAGCCTTCATTGATCAGAAAGTCACTGGCCGATTTTCTGATAAAATGAAGTTACATCACTTATTCTGTTTTCTAGCATAATTTTTAGTTTAGAACCATTCCCCTATTTCCCTTTCTCTCCTGCCTTTCATCTATATTCCTCAGCTTTTTAAAATACTTTCTAAAGGATTTTTTTGTTTTGTTTTAATGTTGGCTTTTAGTATGTGCTGCTTCAAATCCATTTGGAAATCTTGGCAAGAGTTTTTTATTTACATTTAAATAATTGCTTTACAAATTCTGATTCATACCAAAGGTACCTAGCAAGCAAGTGCTCTTGTTTTTACTGTTTTTATATTTTTACTTGGCTTAGTTGTTTCTTATAACTATTATTCACATCCTCTATTTCATATATTACTAATATAAAAGAAATACTAAAATATTTTTTGGCAATACCTCAGCTTATGAATGAGAAAAATTTGTTACCTTTTATTTTTATAGAAATTATGCGTATATTCTTTGCACATTTTCTAAAATAAAAATATTTTAGTCCATAAAAAGATTGCATATAATTGTATTATGCAAACCAATTCCCTATTATAATTTGTTACATATTTTTCTATTTTTGTTCTCTCTCTACATATATACATACACCTAGGTAATTTACGAAAAATAGGATAATATTACCAATGTTGTTTGAAATTGTTTTCTTAATTAAACAATATGATATGATCAACTTCTATGCT